GATTTAGCTGGTCATTTGGAACCCAGCCTGGAAATGGCCAAAACCCCTCTAAAACCAGGCTGGTCAACCAGCTAAAACCAGCCAACCAGCCTAGGCTGGTTTAAGCTGGATTTTTCAGCAGGGTATATATATATATATATATATATATATATATATATATATGTGTGAAATACATTTGAACTAGCACATCACATATGTAATTTGCATATATTTACATATATCAGATTTTTATTTGGGATCTGTATTTCCATCAGTCAGGTGTTGTGGATTTGGCCACAGGTTCTCCTCTACATAACAGTGGGGTTTACATTAGTCAAGAATCTCAGAAAGAACCTTCTGTCAATGTGAATCGAGACCTGACATTGGTCTGCTGTGGTACTGTGGGCTTTCTTAAATACAGTATTATCAAGTATGAAAACATTGTCTGTAAAAGTGGTACATGAAACAAAGAAAGCATAAATATGGAATAAGGATGAATAAAAAATGAAATCTATAGATAATGTAATCCAGTTGGGACATCTTCTGTGGTAACTGATGTCATTTGATATATCCAGAAAATTTCATCATCTAAAAATGTAATTTTAGATCAGTTCCATCAACAATTTAATATTACATTAGTTTCTATGCATCAGGAGTAATGCAACAAAGTCTACAGAATACAGAAGAAATGTCACTTGTATACTTTTGAATAAGGGAAAGGTGTAACAGTCAATATGGCAAATGAAGCCCCGCCCTTAGTACAGGAGCCAATCAGCGATAGCAATAAAATGACAATTCTCCAGGGGAGGTGCTCAGACCAGACATGAGTTTCTGCAGATTTTGTGTGATACAAACATTTAGAAATGAAACTAAATAGACAGTCGTTGTTAAATTTTTTTGGTTATTCGTAATATGAAATTTAATCATAAGCTTAGCAAGCAGTTTTGGAGAATTTGATGTTCCCCATTTAAACAGAATGCCAGGGCATACCAAAGAGCTTAGAATCACCAGGAGGCGACACTCAATAGAACGTTCCATTGCAACAGCAGCGCCCAGCAACAGTTGGGGGATTCCGCCATTTTGGAGTGAAAGCGATCGGCCGTCCGTTGGATCTTATTGCTGTCGTGATGGCAGACATTTGCTTTGTTTTTTATTTATTTATTTAAAAAGCGCATTAAAGCTGAGATACAACCTGACGGACGACAATACAACACTTACTATCACAATCATCAGCACTTTCAATCGATATTTTACATACTTATAATATGCTGTTGTTCTTTTGGAGTTTTCATTTCAATAGCCACCGCACCATCTAGGGGCTGTTTTCTTAATCACACTAGAGTGTCGCCTCTTGGTGATTCTATGCTCTTTGCTTGTGATGTTATTTAAATGAATACACATTTATTTTAAATGTAATGTTTGAGTTGCATTTTGAAATGGGATCAATTTGATTATGAAATTGTGATTTTAGTTTAATGAAGAAAATATCTTTGACTTGTGTGTATGGTATACAAGCATTTGAAAAAAATGAGTTAAGTGTTTTGCAAAAAATGTGCAATTTTGGCAATGGTTGTGATATTTGTGTCTGAGTTTTGAAAATTGACACTAGGGTTCTAAAATTCGTGGCAAAATAATTGTAAAAAACTGTAAATATATTAATTTAATTTAAAACAACAGTTTTTTATGTCTATGTATATGTTTTATTCTATTTTAAACAGCTATTTACTGCATTTTTGTGATTCAAGGCTATTTTCTTTTTCCATCATTACAACAGTCGTTAGTGTTACATGATTCTTCAGAAGTTATTTTAATATGCTGATTAACTGCTCTGATATGAACAATTATTATCAGTGCTCAATCATTCGTAATGATTTTTTGTTTATAATAAAGTGTTTCGAACCCTTGCTTCAGATTTTAGTTGAATTTGTGATACATTTTACTTTTCATCATATTTTAACTAGCATAAATTTGTGATACATAATAAATTCCAAATATAATTAAATTACTTCTTATAATTCATGCTTTTACTATAATATTGTCCAAAAAATTATTGATTGTTTCAATAACAATGACTATATGCGATCGTATCATAGCTCATACATTATTCTCAGGTACATACTGTTAAAACATAAATTTATAGTCAAGTCAAATCAAGCTTTATTGTCATTCCGCTACATGTGTGGAGTCTCACAGGACAACAGTGCTACATAAAGGAATCATAAATACAAACACAACCCTGGACACAAGAGCTATTTTAAAAAAACGTATGCGTAACTAACATATACTATATGATACTTAACTACACATATGAGACAGGCTATACAAATATGGTTATATTTAATTATTGCAAATTTGTTTTGAAAAATTTCTGAAGTGGAATTACTGAATCTGATTATAGATCTCATCATTTATCATTCAAGTTGTTAATCTGTTGCTTAAGTTATCAGTGCGAGGTTGATTCAGAGTACCGAAGCTAAAATATTGGTATTGATCCAAACATAATGTGTGCGCGTCAATTCTCTTTGGCCTGCGATCTCTCCTCCCTGCTACGTCTGTATCAGAGCTGACAGAACGCTCTGTGTTCCTTATAAGGCTGCACACACTCCAGACGCTCACCTCATTCAGACAAACAGAGCAAAAGAGAGAGAGAGAATGACATCTTAGCACCAAGCACAACCTCAGCTTATTCTGAGAAGATCTGTCTGAACACTTACTCCTCTGAGCTTTCCTGACCCTCTTATATGGAATACAATTTCAGCCACTTACCCTGCTGAGTGCTGATTACAAAACCCACTGGTGAAAACAAGCCCTAGCTCAATGCTACCCTTGTGTCCACAGAGTAATTGGATTTTAAAGTAAGCCTTATGTAACTATATGTGCAAAAAAATTGTCTACTTTATTCTCAAAGTAAGGCACAGAGTATCCATCCACCAATATAGTGGCTTAGAGAGGACCAAGCACCTTGCTAGCTAGAGCTTAACAAATGTCTGGACTTAGAATGGATTTCACAAGTGTTTCCTAAACCTTTTCTGAACTTTCAGAAAAGAGTTAAGAGTCTCTTTAGTAAGTCATGGTCAAACATTCATTAATTAAACAAACTCAGATTGTTAATCATTACTATTTTGGTTGCACTTCATTAATAGTTGTATTGTTTCCTTTATTATATTATATTATATTATATTATATTATATTATATTATATTATATTATATTATATTATATTATATTATATTATATTATATTATATTATATTATATTATATTATATTATATTAAATTATATAGGAACATATAATATATATAAGGGACTAAGCCGAAAAGAAAATGAATGAGTATTATATTAGCAACAACTTTTGAAATTTAATTTAATTTAATTTAATTTAATTTAATTTAATTTAATATTGGGGTACTTAAACACCATTATATTCATAAATTTAATGTAATACAATACAGATGCTAATTGTAATTGACTATAGAATTTTAACTTTACATCAACAACGAGTCAGTGTAAAAAAAAAGTACAACCCAGCCTCATTCTGATTACGTACAATTATTTACAATACTAGAAAGAGCAAAATACATACCAGGAGCTACGTTTTTTTTTTGCAGTTTTTGTTTTAGCGAATCTGCCAAAGGCCACTGTGTATGCTTTTTCAGATCTCAAACTTCTTTTGCGAGTATCATTTGTGCCTTCTGTTCTCATGTAAATCCACCAGAGGCCGCTGTCAACTGACTGACTTACTAACCAACCAACCGATCCTCCCATCCTCCCCATTCCCTAAAACCGCCCACACACTTCCCTAAACCCAACCCAAAAAGAAAAGCCCTCTAATTTTTACCATGTTTTCAGATTTTACCACATCCTCACCCTATTATTTACTTGTTTATTTTATTTTTAAGCTTTTGTTTTTTGTCTTACTCGCTTTCTGAAACAGTTCTTCACCAGACTGGAACCCTGTTGTCGAGGTCAACTTTGCTTCTCAAGTCCACTGACGTATATGTCGAGCTACCAGACAAACTGGTAACTGCACAAAAGCCGTCCATACAGAGGTAAGCAGTCAGCAGGTAACCGAGAACGGGAACGGCATCATACAGCCCGCAGGAATCATTTTAAAGCTGAAATGCAGCCATACATAGCTCTGGCTACATAATTCAGGATCTCCAGAAATGTATATAGGGTTACGTTTTTACAATAAGCTTATGTTGAAAATAATGCTTAAAAAAAAGACTCCTGTGTCTTTTTTCAATTTTTTACAAATATTTCTGCCAATAACAAAGACACTTTCACTCATGACAGACATGAGGCTGCATTTTCTTGTTAATTGCAAAGTCCAGATGGTGTTTAACAAATGTCATATGCAGACTTTTCATTTTGATTATTATTACCTACAAATAAATACACCACAATCTGTACAAATAGTAATAAAAAGTTACCAAACAACAAAGTATAAAAAAAACTCCACCAAGGATATTTTTTTGTCCCCCAAACAGAATGAAAATGACTGGGTTACACAAATACTGTGAGGATGTTTCTGAAGATTTCAGAATGCTCTTTCTCCATGCAGGACTTGATTTGGGCAGTAAATGAATGTTGATCATCTGAACCAGCGTGCAGAAGACATTCTGCTCTGTCTCAACCACATGATCTCCAGCCCTTTCTGAGCCCTCACTGTGAAATATCACAGTGGGAAATGTAGCAAAAAGAACCAACATCCAATAGTAGAAGTTTTTTAAGCGCATTCTAAAGCATCTAAAAGTTTTCCGCGTTATCTGCCAGACAAGTGAAAACTTCCCTCCGAACAGTGACTAGAACACATCCAAACATCAGCCATAATTATAGAGCTGTCTACGTCTGGACATGATGTAACAGGCCCACGGCCAGCTGTTCTCCGTTCGGTGTACAGTACAAACGCAAATGATCACACATACACACAACAAAAGAATTAGATGGCCTTCAAAGACCTGCATGAATGAAAGGATTCTTTCCCACAAAACCCAGAGAAAAGGTGTGAATGCCACTCACCAACTCTGAAGTTGGGGGCGGTGAGCGTGTCGGTGGCGTGTCCGTTCTCACTGATGATAGTGGTGGTGTTTCCCTTCTGACAGCTGTTCTGACAGCGGCCGTTGGTGCAGGTCATCTTGCAGATAGTCGGAGTGAAGACCACCTTGATCCGGCCTGTGTGGTTCCCCACTGCAGCCCAGCAGAGCAGAGACATCAACAGAGAAAAGACAGAAAAATCCATCAGTCTGAACTGCATGACTTTCATAAACAACTCTCTCTCACACACACACACACACACACACACACACTTTAGCAGGCAGTGTCTGGCAGAATGGCTCAGGAGTTCAGCTTTAAGAAAGTGAAACGAGAGAGGAAGAGAAAGAGAGAGAGAGAGGCTGGAGGAAGGCAGAAACTCTTTCTGTTGTCTTGTCTTTTCTTAGTCGTCCTGTACGTGTTCCCCGGTGACCGTCTGATTCCTTTTTCGTCCATCCCCCAAACCCCCCATCCCATTTTTTTTGTCCTTGGTCCAATATCTCAGTCTCTGGAACATGAGGAGGTGACTAAAGAAAAAAATAAAAGCAAAAGAGAGGGAGAGAGAGAAAGAGAGAGAGAGAGAGGGAGAGAGGGGGGGGGGCAAACAACTCTGGGATCAGACCCAGTTCTTGCAGGATTTAGACAAAGTGGCCACAACTCCATCTCTAATACCTTCCTATCTTACTCAGGCTACCATTACTGATCAAATAATTGACAATGATTATAGTGTTTTATTAATATTAACAACTTATACTGTAAGACTTTTTTATCTAATAAATCTTTATAATAGCACAGACTTTCGCACCTTTGTCTGAAAAATTTTCAGGAAGCAGTTTCCTAAAATAGTCTATTTCAATTTAAGTGATGTAAGCTGCAAAACTATGTGGAAAGAAAGCTACCCACATCCTCATCTGCTCACCTACTTAATTATTTCAGTGGATTAGGGAGAATGTGATTTAAATTAGGGTCTGATAAACTTCTGGCATGACTCGATATTTTCCAGTAAGTTTTCTGTTTCACTTCCTGCTCCTGTTGTTTTTTTTTTTTTCTTCTCGATTGCTGACATTTCCGTTCCATACTCCATAGGGCATCTTATTAAAGGGTTGTTTATTCAAAAATACTAACAAACAAATTAGTAACAGCAACAAACATTTTTGGAAGCTTAAGCACAAGACTTTCTTCTGTGAATCATAACATAAAATAAGATTAATTGTATAAAACCTTACAAAACCCTTCTAAATTCACCCGCTTTGAATGTTATCACTCGATTGAATGGGAGTTATTATTAGTGGTTATCAGCTGATAGACATGGGTAAGTAGGGGCCTTCAGCATCTACTGGTAGGCTCAGAAGGCTATTATCATCCATGCACATGGTTAATCAGCAATACTAATAGAGAAGACTCCAAATTTGTTTTTACTTAAAAGTGATGGTTGGGTTCAGGGTTGGGGTATGTTAATAAAATACAATTAATGGAAAATTTAATAAACAATATAAATAATTCTCGTTAACTTCTGGCCGCAGCCATATGTGATCTATAGCTGATAAACCATGTAGATGGAGTATAACAGCCTTCTGAGCTTACCAGTAGGCGCAGAAGGCCCCTACTGGCCGATATCTATCAGCTAATAACCACTGATAATGCCAATTCAATCAAGTGATAACATTCGAATAGGCTGTCTAAATTTAAGTGTGTTTTGTTTCTGATATCTCTGTGTGATGGACAGAGGGAAATTTTAAAGTGCAAATATTCAAATATTACAATTGCAAAGTTTAAATATTATCTTTTATGAAGTGTTTAAGTTATTAGCTAGGTTTATATCCTAATGTGACGAAAATCAATTCAAAGCTTATGAAACAAAGTGAATTAGGCACATTTTTATCAAGTTGTTAGAGTGGCTGACTGTAGGATTGGTAACATAGTAACCAACAGTAAACAAGGCACGCATAATGAGAACAGCTGATTGGTCACAGGTGTAATGCTCTCTACAGTGCTCTTAGACAGTGGCTGTTTCTCAATTCCAAGAATGCAGAGAATGGACTTGTGTTCTTGTGGAGACCGGTCTTGCCAGGTGTCCTCGGAAGAACGAACTCAGGAGACTGCGAGAGCAGAGAATGCGTCCTTTGAGAAATAGGATGCTGCGTTCTTCCTGATGGTCACGTGACCTTCACGTGTTTTAAATGGAAATTATTTAAACATTACAGCATTCATACAGCGATTTATTGTTTTTCCCCTCTTCAAAATATATACTTTGCATAAAAACATGATAAATATACTCTGCACAATATAAATAAAACACATTTTAATACAAATTTCAGCAAACAAACACCCTTAATGTGTTTATTCCTTTATTAAGATGTTCATGTTAATGTTTACTTTCACCGTTTCATTTAGGGAAACTCCTGAGGTAAATAAATGATATCTCTGAACTTTAATAATAAATCTAAATAAAATGCTGCGCTTCCCACATCCAGTCGCAATGACTTCTGGGACTTCCAGAGCGAGTTCGGTGCTCAAGTCTGCATCAGTGCGTCCTAGATATCAAGAACACATCCGGGAAGTTTCATGCGTCCTCCGTACTTGCGGTCTTGAGTATTGGAACTGAACTTAGGCAGCTGATGATGACGTTGCACGAGAACACGAGGACACAAGACCGCTGAAGAATGCATATTGAGAAACAGCCAGTGTTTATCTCCAATTATTCACATTAGCCCTAAGTCTTCCTAAAGCGAGTAAAATAACTTTTTCACTGATCAATAGATTAATTATTGGATTTTTAAAATGGATTTTTATTCCAACACTTGTTTCTCATGCGATACTTCAAAATATACCTAAACTGATAGTGAACTGCCTGAAAAGGGTAATCAATAATTTCTGCCTTATTTAATGCACAAACTGACACAGATTTGTAACATTATGCTTTTTAATGACTCTCATTGGCTGCTCATAATAAACCCTTTGACCATCAAACATCCTCACTTAGACATGCTGTGAAGCTACTGTATTTTTGTGTTGCAAAATCATCTTGCGTGCACTTCCAAAGGACTAATACACTGAGAAAGGAGGTCATGTTCTGATCTACACTCACCTGCCACTTTATTAGGTACACCTTACTAGTACCTAGTTAGACCTTCTTTTGCCTTCAGAACTGCCTTAATCCTTCTTGGCATAGATTCAACAAGATACTTTAATTATTCCTTAGAGATTTTGGTCCTTATTGACATGATAGCATCACACATAGCTGCAGATTTGTCAGCACATCTCAAAGGTGCTCTATTGGATTGAAATCTGGTGACTGTGGAGGCCTTTTGAGTACAGTGAACTCATTGTCATGTTTAAAAAACCAATCTGAGATGATTCGTGCTTTATGACATGGCTTGTTGTCCTGCTGGATGTAACCATCAGAAGATGGCCACACTGTGGTCATAAAGGGATGGACATGGTCAGCAACAATTCGTAGGTAGGCTGTGGCATTTACACAATGCTCAATTGTCATAAATGGACCCAAATTGTGCCAAGAAAATATCCCCCACACCATTACACCACCACCAGCAGCCTGAACTATTGATACAAGGCAGTTTGTTGTTCATGTTGTTTATGCTGTTGATGCTAAATTCCAACCCGACCATCCGAATGTCGCAGTAGAAATTGAGACTCATTAGACCAGGCAATGTTTTTCCAATCTTCTGTTGTCTAGTTTTGGTGAGCCTGTGCAAATTGTAGCCTCAGTTTCCTTTTCTTAGCTGACAGAAGTGGCACCTGGTGTGGTTTTCTGCTGCTGTAGCCCATCCACCTCAAGGTTCGACATGTTGTGCGTTCAGTGATGGTCTTCTGCATTTCAAATTCACCTAAATCACCTTTCTGCCCCACTCTGATGCTCGCTTTGAACTGCAGCAGATCATCTTGACCATGTCTACATGCCTAAATGCATTGAGTTGCTGCAATGTGATTGGCTGATTAGAAAGTTGCATTAACGAGCAGTTGGGGCAGTGTACCTAACAAAGTGGCCGTTGAGTGTATATTACAGTGTGAGACAATCCAATTATTTTCAACATTGGATTAAACAAAAAAAAATTAAGAACAATTAAGTTTTAAGGAAACAATTTAGTCTGGACTGGTGTCATTTTGAAAGTCACTTCAAATCCAAGTGCGCTCTATATACTGTACGCTCTAAGAAAAAAAACAGGAACAGCAGCTGTCATTGGGTTTGTGTTACGTAAACGCAAATCCAACAGAAGGTAACATGTAACCTTTTTTTTAAAGATCAAAGAATGTCTCAAACAAAACAGACATCAGTCAGCTACTGATGACACCAACACACGCACCTACAGCTGTTATGAAGCCTGAGTGGAAGGTAAATCGACGAAGACACACTGAGAGCTAACAGAAACAGTGAGAAGTAGATGACAGGAGGCGAATGGCTTTACCAGATCACACAGCACACACACACACACACACATATATACAGAGGACTGCTGACAGGCCGTCTCTCGTGTGGGACAGACCTCACTGAGTGCCAGACGCCCAGATATTGAGAAACTAGCCAGTCTGCTACTTCTACCATTAAACACACACAAAAACACACACTTACTTGGCAAATCTAAATTACCATCAGAAATACCACTGACATGTTTTGTTTTTATATAAAACTAATTATAAAATCCAGTGCCAGATTTGATTCTAAAATTTCTGTGTTCTATATGAACATGTGCAGATGTGGCTTAACATGAATATGTTACGCAGTCATGTATATAATAATAATAATAAATATATATACATTTTTAATTATATATAATTATACATAATAATATATTATATATTATTTATATATAGTCATTTATATAATAATAATAATACATAAATTTATCACATACCTGCACATGAATATACTGTACTGCATAAGGTATAGCAGGATTCAACAGACCAAATGTAATATTGTAACTCTGTAGTATTTTGAAATGATTCTATATGTATTGGTCATCATTAGTAATTAATACAGAAATGAATATCTTAAGATGAAAATCTTGTTAATTAAAATCCATTTCATTCATTAATTTTCCTTCGGCTTAGTCCCTCATTTATCAGGGGTCTCCACAGTGGAATGAACTACCAACTATTTCAGCATATGTTTGATGCAGTGGATGCTCTTCCAGTGG